AGTTGAATAGTTTACATCAATACATGTATAATGAATTTGATAAAAATATCTTGAATAGTTCCTTTAAACCTAAGTTATACACAAAGTGTGATATCATTAACGTGGAGAGTGATGAAAGACATTAAGACATATGGAATTAATATACTCAATGCCCTGGTAAAATTCATGGCAGACAACATTCTTTTTTAATTAATTACCTTAATGATGATGACAGACTTCTAGTATGTACATTTGATGTACATTTGATTTTTCTTTTGCATTTAAAATGTGATGTATTGTTCATAATTTCAATATACTTACATATGTTTTGATATCTTTTCCTTGGCGGCTGTCAAGGTATTTGATGGTGTCACTTGACACTTTTGTCGTGAGGGCACTCTGGTCACTGCTTTCAATCATCATACACAATTGCACTTGCTTTACTTCCGGTAAATCTTGGATGCAGGATTTCAATAAGTGTTTCCCGATGCCTAGGTACAGCCAGTGAAGAATGCCAACTGGTATGTCACTTAAATTTAATTAAAAACAAAGAAATCACAATAAAAATGATGTACGTATGTACTAACGTATGAATGCATGGTGATGATTGATAAATAACAGGACATGAATGCCCCAAAATATGAAGAAAAAGAATTATAAAAACACAATATTAGAAGGGTCTTCTGCTGAAGATGGAAGACCCAAATAATTATACCTATGTGGATTCAAAATGTTCCAAAGAGGGTTTGCATATGGTTTCAGCCCATGGTTCTGTCTCATATCTTTGTTGTTGTTCACTGACAAGATATTTAATATCCTCTGAGTTTCCTCAGGATATCTGTCATTACCCTTCCATATACATGAATCTTTATCAGCCTTAAAATAAGTAAAAAAAATCTATATACACAATGTAAGGTATAGGATCAAGTCAAGACCAAAACACAGATATGTAGGTTTGTGTGAAAATTGGAACTTGTTTAAGATATAATTTTTAAACATCTATCAGTCTATAACTAATTTTATCTTGTATCAACACATTTATAGCCGATTGATGCTTAAAAATGATACCTTATTAATACTTATATTTACATTTGTGAACTTATTCGTATTTTATATTTGCCTCATTATGAGTTGTATCAATTTGTGACATATGGTTTATTTTTCAACTTTGTCAATGGCACATACATAATCCATTGATTGATGTTACTGAGAAATTACATCATACATTTATGAAGCTAGAACCTGTATTTATACAGTCAGGCCTTATAGATACACTTTGCTTTCAATAGCATTATATAAAGGAAATCATTTGCATTGAAATGAAAATATATATCTTTAAATTGATTTAAAAGCTTACATAACATCTTGGACAAAATTTGTTTGTGTTTGCACCCATGTGATTTGATGCTTCTGCCAACATGTTAAAGTCACAGACACAGACTGCTAGGCATGGTATGATGTTCACCTTTTCCCTCCTTTGGCCATCAAAGGTCAGAACACCACTATATAAGAAAAAAAGAGAGAAATTAAGTTTCACTCTAGAAATGTATTTTTTTTCTTAGCATAAAATCATGACAAATCATGATATAAATTAAGTCTGTAAGGAGAAGATTTAAACAAGAGGCCCATGGGCCACATCACACACCTGAGCACACTGGCTAGGGAAAAAAAGCAAAAATTAGTTCAGTATTAAGAATTTTGAATAATAAATATTTGAATAGCAAATAAACAAAGTTTAACTCTTTCTTCGACATCTAAACTTGACGTTACACATGAATCAATATTTCTAAGTTAGTCAATTGATTCTCTAAATTAAAATTTCCAAACTGAGAGGGCATAGGATATATCCTGCATTAAAAGTTAAATAAAAAGTTCCAAGTCAATAGAGGGGGTTAGCAAGCTCACTTGTACGTGTAATTTCAAGTAAAAGAAATGTTACCTTTCAGAATTTCTTATGTCATCAATGACAGGATGAGCCATTTCAAGGATAGGCACTTCTGTAGAAGCACCAACAAATTTTATCGTGTCAGGATTCTGCTTCCTTGATTTTGGTATTCCTGCAAGCTGTAATTGCAGACAGTGGAGTGGTTTCCATTTCTTTGATTTGTTAGCACTTGTGTCATCCATGAATAAATTGAGTGGTAAAGTGTAAACCGGTAGACCTCTCACTTGATGTTGATTATGTTCAATAATACTCTTCTTTTCCTGGGAATTGAAAAATGTCACAAGTCATACATCACAACTTCAGTAATATTTGTCTTCTTACTTTCAGTATATATGTATGTCCTTGAATATTTTTATTTATGAACAATCATCAAATCAATCTTTTTAAACATATGCCTAAAGCAAAATATTTATATGTACATTATTATGAGAGGCCCATGTGCCACATCGCTCACCTGAGAAACTTCGGCCATCCTGTTCTTAAAATACCAGTTTTCCTGCCTTTTAATAGCTATTGTGACCCCATCCTAACCTTAGGGTCATGAATTGAACAATTTAGAATCTACATGTACTACCCTATGTTACTTCCACACATGGTTCAGTTATTTCTTGTTCTTGAGAAGAAGTTGAAAATGTTCAAAATTTACAGACAGATGGACAGACAGCTTGACACACAGATGACAGACATGGGTGATCAGAAAAGCTCACTTGAAAGCTCAGATGAGCTAAAAAATATGAATTTCAAATGGTATGTGAACTTACATCATCTGCCACTGGAATCATTCTTTCATTGACATATTTGAAGAATCTGTATTCATGAACTCTCTGCACTTTAGATAAAAGAGAAATATTCCACTTCGCATAAGTTTCCAAGCAAACCAATCTAAATTGAAATGTAAAAGAAATTTTAATTGTAATACAGAAGTTCTATGGTTGATTTAATTACAATGGCCCTTTCAGCAAATACATGTGATACCATATGAACCAATGATAAATCACATTACAATGTATGAAAATGAGAGAGAGAGAGAGAGAGAGAACATATATTAACCAAGCAGACAAATATTTTACATACCTTTTTTCTGCAAGTCCTGGAAATGCTTCTGTCCTGAAGACTTTTACTTTGGCATATGTAATATCATTCTGCAATTATGCATATATATACAATGTTGATAAAAAAAATTCAAGTTCTATTTATACATATATGATTAGCCATTTTTTAAAAATAATTTTAGTGATTGAAGTATAACTGTAAAAAGAGCATATGCATATATCTACCTGAATGTCTTGCAGGAAAGTAACAATTTGGCCAATGTCTTGGGAATCATTAGATGAAGAAACAAAGTCACCTGTGAATATTCAACTATTTTACTACTTTATTTAGTCATTAACCGATGTGTTGTTTCACAAGTACCAGTAATTTGAATTTCAGTTATCTGAAATATGATTTTCACAAGTTCACAGCAGAATATAATGTAAATCAATAATGTACCAGGAATATGTTTTACCTGAAAAGAAAGTACAACTCCCATTTGGTGCATAATGTGACCGAAATTCATGAACCCATTTACTACCATCTGACTGTTCTTTCAACAAAGCCTGGCCATCACTCGATACTCTGCCATACCTAAACAAGATATTAATACTCTGTGATCCACTCAAAGTTATTATAAAACTTTGTTAGCAATTTTAACAATTCAAACATAAATATATATTTCTTTGAAATTATGCAATTTATAAACAAAAAAAACATGTAGAAGATGTGTTTGTGAAACACTAATGCACCTGGTGTCAACAAAGTTCAAAAAAACTATTTTTAGCATAGAGATCACAGTCAAGGTCACAGACCTTGGTATCATTTGTAAGAGCTAATAATTAGTAGAGTATGTCAAATATGCCAAATATGAAGTCTCCATCTCTCATGGTTCAAAAGTTATTGCAAAAGTTCGAAAAAGCTTTATTAAGCATATAGGTCACAATCAAGGTCACAAGGTCATTGAACTTGATGTCATTTGAAAGAGATTTAATCATTGGAGTATGCATACCAAACATGAAGTCCCTATCTCTCCGACATAGTTAAAAAATAATGGCAAAGGTTAAAGTTGAGAACAGCTAGACAGACAAACAGGTAAACAGACAGGACAAATCAATATATGCCCCAGATCTATTGATCCAGGTGCACTATATACATTTATTGCATGATACTGAGGGAAATATGAAGACTTATTAAGCCAAGAAAGATCATATTCCTGATGGCTTAGCACGAGGGGAATATGATGTTTCTTTGCTGAATAAGTCTTCATGTTTCCAGAATATTCAGAATGCAATGAATTATTTATTATACCTCAACACGCAAAACCTTTGAAATACACTTAAACTTTAAAATTCAGCACCGCTCTCAAATTCACTTTCATTTTTTACATGAAGTTACTATTAAACCCTTTGGTCAACACATTATCATCAATTTTGTGACATAAACCAGGCTATTGTGATTTCTACTACTCTCATGAGTTTTCTTTCAATGAAAGATAACTGTGCTTTGGAAAAATACACTAATTATCCGAAGAGGTGGAATATGATGAAAACGAGCCAGCGACTGTGAAATATGAAGTTTTACGGCTTGATCATGTGATAACCTAGAGCCAATCAGATAACGAGTTTTGCAGAATAGAATATTTATGATGAGGTTAGTAATAATAATTATGTCAATTGTTTTGCTTGATAGATCATATAAATTTTCTTTTAAATTACTGTACCTAAGCAGGCTGGAAGCAGTGTCTGGATGGGATAAAGCCATGCTAAGCAAGGCAGTTGGCTTAATTATCCAAAAAGGATTGCCATCGCTGCTTTCTTCCTAAAAGATAAAAAGCATTCATCAATTGTATTTATTAATTATCAATTTTAATTTTAAATCCATGACATTTCAATCAAAAGATGGCAAGTAAAATAGATTTTACATCAGCTACAGTAATGAAGTATTAAAATGAAGACTCATAGAAGTGGAGTCCTATATAAAATTAAAAACAGAGTAATTATTGATAGTCTGGTGTACAAAACCTGAAATAAAAATATCTCACATGATTTGTAGTTGGATATGATTTTTATCGCTGGAGATCCTATACAAATACATCCTAAATATACACCATGTTTCATACACAATTATCAATGTTTAACAGTTTTTATGTATGAATCCACTTTATTTTACTTTAAAAATGTGAGATATCAAAATAATATCCAATGAGTGATATCTACAAGTTGAAGATAACATGAGATGTTTGTAAAACACTAATTATGCCTCCTCCCTCAAATACTCGGAATTTTTCTAAGTCCTGAATTTTAATGGGTACATAGGAAATAAATTCGTTATCCAGTTCCAATCAAGGGTGTACGGGGATTTACACTTATCGGCTGAAGGGTGTATGGAATAAAACCTGGGGTAAATCCCCGTACACACCCTTGATTGGAACTGGATAACTAATAATACACCAGTACAATAAAATTCATATCTAGTCCAATATTTGGTTTAACATATGGGAGATTTCTCTCTCATTCATTGTTTGTTATTATGTGGACCTTATATACAATGTTTTAGTCAATTATACTTACACGAGATAACATACTCTCAGGAGTCATATCACCACTTATTTGAAAGTTTTTTACTAAAGAGAAGGATGGCATCTCAATTCCACATTCTTTCATTATGAACCAGATGAATTTGGCTGTTTCATCACTCTAAAAACAAGAAATCTGTGAGCCAATGCTCACTAGTAATACCCCCGCTCTGATGTAAATAAGCACTATCATGTTAAAATACACAAGTTCAATTACAGGCAGATGCACAGAAAAATATGAAGTTGACATCAGATTCATATAAAAAAAAATACCACCATATGGCATACCTCAACAAAGAGTGTAATAAAATTTCAAGCATCCACTATAAATAGCTAATGAGAAAACTGCGACAAAGATTTGTAATGTATGAAACGGACAGACGCACAGGCAAACAGGATATTGATATCCGAGATGAGCAAAAATATATCCCACCATATGGCATGCCTCAGAGAAGATTGTGTTAAAATTTCAAGCATCTATAATGAGTAGTTGCTGAGAAAACTGCGACAAAAATTTGTTATGTATGAAATGGACAGATGCACAGACAAACAGGAAGTTGACATCGGATTTGAACGAAAATGTATCCCACCATATGGCATTCCTCAGAGAAGATTGTGTTAAAATTTCAAGCATCTACGATGAGTAGTTGCTGAGAAAACTGCGACAAAAATTTGTTATGTATGAAATGGACAGACGCACAGACAAACAGGAAGTTGACATGGGATTTGAACGAATATGTATCCCACCATATGGCATGCATCAGAGAAGATTTTGTTAAAATTTCAAGCATCTACGATGAGTAGTTGCTGAGAAAACTGCAACGAAAATTTGTTTCGGACGGACACACAGACAGACAGACGGACAGACACACAAGGGTAAAACAGTATACCCCCCTCTCCTTCGAAGCGGGGGTATAATTATTACCATAAGTTATAATTTTACATAGTAAATAGAAGTCTCTCTCTTTCTCTCTCTCTTTCTCTCTCTTTCTCTCTCTCTCTCTCTCTCTCTCTCTCTCTCTCTCTCTCAGGTACTTACTATTGTATGTGTTTTTGAGTGAACCAGGATGTACAAGTACATCTGCAGCTTGGAAGAAAATGGGTACCAAGGCTGATCATTGGCAGAATTGGTCGTTACATCATCAACATCATCATCATCGGCATCATCACCATCACCATAGGTAGAGGAGGTTGAGCTCTCCTGACCATATGCATTGCTCATTTCCTCAACATTATCTGAGTCAGCAATATTCTGGAAGTTTTGAATTTGTTATAAAATCAAGCTAGTATTTGAAAGATAATGAAAGCTATACAATTTCATCATTTATGTGTTACACATAGTCATTATCCCTATTTATAACTTAATTTAAAGGTCAGCATAAAAAAACTAGAGTTACTGCGAGCAAATTGAGATCAAGACCGGATTATGATGATATCCCCTGACCTCCCATATGATTATAATTGCAGTGTCCATATTTTGCAACAGATAACCCAAAATATGTGTTTGATTAAAAATAGGAGGTGCACAACGGCAACTGTATGTAATAATTTAAAGATTCTGTGAAAGTATCACTAAATTTCATTCAGTGGTATGAGAGGTCAGTTGGTATAAGAGATATATAGGTACCACTCTGATCAAATTGTAACAGACGGAGGGACTGACATCCTGATTACTTCATGTGTCATTATTATATATACCCTCCCAATTTTTAAGCAGGGTGAGGGCCTGGGCCTCGGGGGTGTACAATGATAACGATTAAATTTAGCGTTGTCATATCAACACAACAGTAGAATGAAATAACCACACAATGTTTTTTACAAGCATGTTAATTTATTCTGTCCTGCCCAACATCCAGACTATGCTCCTCCCCAAGATTTAGAAAACCAGAAGCAAAAAGTCTATGACTTTTAAATATAAAGGTCCATTAAACATGTTAAAATCATTAAATTTAGCTAAGTAGCTAGAATGAACCATGTAGTTTTATTTACCTACCTCAGCTAGATCTAGCTTTTAATATTTAGCTTTTTCAATGTAACTTTTCAGATACCCAAGTGAAAAAAATCCTCAAACAAATCACTTTAAGAAATCACTAATAAATCAGTGATTTGAAGATGATTTGTAAGTGATGCAAATTCCCATGCAAATGAGCTAACAAATCACTCCTAACAAATTGTAAGCAAATCACCCTGAAATCACAACGAAATCACTTTGAATAAATCGTGTAGAAATCACTTCTGTTGAACAAATCGCAACCAAATCACTCCGAATAAATTGCAAACAAATCATTTCAAATAAATTGCAAACAAATCACTTCAGTTTAACAAATCACTTTCAAATCACTCCAGGTGGATACACACTTGTATGCATGATGCTCATGTAACCATCCCTCAAATATTTGAAACACACATGCATGCATACCAGTATTTGTTGTATATTAGCAAAAAACTTTTGGCAAGAGTATTTTAAAATATAAACTTTTACTAGCCAGGATGTGTCCTCATTAAGATGGCATCATGTATTTTAGATATACACACATGTACTTGCAGCTCCAAATTCAGAATATGATATAAGCATTAATTGTTGACTTTTAGAAGTTGGTAAATTTTTCTTGTGTGATTTAATAAATAAATATTTGTCAAGACACTTTGAAAAAGCCAGTACTTTGCTGAAGCTTATAGCTTTACATAGATTTTGTGGTTAACATTAATTGCCACCGACTTGGTTTGTTGGTAGAAGAACAATAAATTGCATGTAAACATATGGAATATTAACTGAATCTAAGGAGGAAATGATAGCATAATACAGTTATACATACCTTAAAACTATATTCTGCACGGTTATGAAAAAAACATCAGTTTCAACAAAAGGAGAGAGGAATGAATCTAGAACAGCACAATCTAGCTCCTTTCTTTTCAATTCAAATCTGATTAATGAAAATTGGCGGTAGAGTTTCTAATATTGACCAATCAGCAAGCCAGGCGGAAGTTATGAAGTAAATCATTCTCAAATCACTCTGAAGAAGGACCATGAGATCAACAAATCATTTACAAATCATCCAGAAGAAAGACTAAGTTAACAAATCATCCTCAAATCACTTTGAAGAAAGACTAAGTTCCAGAAATCATTTTCAAATCACCTTGAAGAACGGCTAAGTTCAACAAATCATGAAGAAATCACTGTAACAATTTCCTAAGTTTAACAAATCACTCAGAAATTGTCTGATATGGGAAAGAAATCACAAGCAAATCACCCTTTCTTAACAAATTGTAAGCAAATCATAGTCATCATTTTAGTAGAAAGTGATTTAAGCATGATTTGTTAGATGAATTGCTTACAAATCACTGAAACAAATCACTTTTAAGTGATTTTAAAGCAATTTGTAGGCAATTTGTGAGTGATTTGTTTGAATTTTTTTTTACTTGGGTACTTTTTTTTTTCTTTGACTAAAGAATATAAACAATCGCAAGGAAATGACTGGAAATATTTACACTACGGAGGTTTAAAAAAAAACAATCCAAAGAAGAGAAAGTTTATTTAAACATTGATGTGTTTGAACGCATGTAAGCAAAACATGTAAACATAGTTCCATTGTTTGGGTTACCTGTTACCTATATATGTATGTGCGGTGAGGCATGGACGAGTATGATTACTTCTCACTGTGTTGAAGAATTTAATAGCGATCTATTATAATGTTAACCAGAACTGGGCTTTTGTGATTTGGTAGGTAAATAAAGCTATATGTAGGTAAATCAAGCTACGTGTAGCTATAAGTAATGTACCAGACCTGAATTATAGCTATAGAGCCTCTGTTAACGGCCGTTTTAAGTCACATATAACGTGTATAATCAGAGTAGTATATTGTTTGTCCACACATTCGTTGCTTTTCACTGTTTGAGAACAACTTTTCCAAGATCTTAAACGTAAAATGAAACATACCGTGGGCTGAATGGAAGAAATTTCCGTGTCGCAGCTATGGTTAGTAAAATTCTCATTATTCTGCCGAGTCTCGAAAGTAACGATTCTGTAGTTACGTAGATGTTTTTCAGTATTAAGGTGTCTTTGAAATTGGCTGCTGTAGTTTGCCGAGAAGTTGCACAAGTTACAAAAAAGTGGATCCTCTGCACGTCTCTTCATTCTCCCTCTTCATGTTATTCTGGTCTGTCAGATTGAAATATCGCGCGAAAAAAATCGAAGGGGCGTTCGGAACAGGTAAAACCGAAAAGCAATTAACGTTGAATATGCTATTTGTATGATACTTTCTTCGTGAGATTTTTTTCAAATATATATCAAAGGGAAAAAAAGATGAGAAAAGTAATAAATTTCATTAATTTCAAAATATATGAAACATGATAATGGCTTGGTTACACTTCCTGTCGGTTCTCGATGTTGACAGTTCTACGTAATATTTTACGTCATTCATCATCTGTTGGAAACTGACAGTGCGTAAAAGGTGAGCTCTCAGTAATTAGTGTAATTCAGATATCTAAATAATTATACACATGTAATTAAGTTATGTTGTTGTAATTAATAAGTAACGAGGCATTTTTATTTATTTTTATGTAGAAACAGTAGGCCTTGCTGAGACTGATATTTTGAAGAATGGCAAACGATTCACAGCAATCGCTAGATTTGTTCCATGTAAGTTACCTGTAGAATTCATTTTGGGGGGTTAGGGATTCAAACAATTACAGATATGTGTCAAAAGTAAGGATAATTTTATTTTTCTTTTCTCTAACTTGTTACATATTTTATTGAAAACAACATTTTGTAAAATCACTGGCAAATGGTCATTTTTGTCCAATTTCATTATTTATTTCTGAATCATCACTTGAACCAGAAAATGTGAAGGGATCCTAGTTTCATTTTCTTGAAAATATTTAATTAAATAACAGTTTTTAAGTTTACCTGATTTTTATGTATTATTGTAAAAGATAATTAGTTTAACTTAAATTATATGTTCTAAAATTCAAGATCAAAGTTGACTTTAGTTTTAAAATTCATTATAAGCAAAATTTATATAATATGATTGACGTCCCATCGAAGGTTGGGCTTGGAGGGGCATAAGCATTTTAAATTAAGTTAAGCTTTTTTTCTCTATAGAACTGTATATGTACATCAAACATGATTTAAATGTCGGCAAGATTAAAAATTATTTTGGGGGCACACATGTACATGTAGACTAATTGTACCCTAAAAGCATGACGACCTGAAATGTGTGCTATTTTACTCAACTTTATTTAAAAATTATACTATTATAATAACTGCATGTATAATGTTCAATTAAAGGGTTCACAAGATTCAGAGAATGACAATGCCCCTCCTAACCTCCCTCCACTGGAAAGACCAGTAAATATGAAGATGATCTGTAAGTATAAATTAAACTTGCTTATTAGTAGCAATTCAAAAATCATAAAAATCTTTCTAGGATCATAAGCTTATTTATCAAAAGATTTCCTGTCATTTTATTTTTGGTAAAGATATTATCATAAATACTGAGTGATTTATGTCATGACATTGAAAGATTCAAGTCCTGTCTTTGCATAGTTTGATGTTTGTTTGATATATTGCTTATAGATTATAATTATTAAAGGACACAATATTAGTGTCTATATTAATTACTACATGTATGAGTGGATAGTCTTCAAAATTTAATCCTGAAAATCTAATTCAGACTAAAATTAGTCAGTTAAGTGTATAACAATCAAAGAGCTTCTTGTTTCTCTTCCAGATGATGAGATCTGTAGTTTGAGGAAAGAGGTCCAGGATATTAGAAAAATCCTGGACGGCCGTAGCTCTAGGTCTGCTCCTACAGCTTCTGCAAACTTCCAAGTGGAGGGATCAAATGTGAAGGTACATTTATTGTAATAGTACCATAGTAATTGTTATGAATAACATTTTTTGATTATCCCCTCACATTGATTGGAGTTGGAGATGATACCAGTAATGCACTGACTTGTGTGTCAGTTTGTTTGTGTGTTAGGTTAAATGTCCTTGTGGAAAAAATGATGTAATTTTTATGTATATAAAATGTTTGAAAATCAGATTACAAGAGAAAAATTCAATTTTAATGATAGCTGCACAAGTTTTTCTTATGACTTGTTTGAATAAGTTTGCCAAATTTCCCCAATTAAAGAAAATGAGTAAAGTATAACTTGGATAGTTATAAGGCCATCTTTTAAAAAAAATGTTTGGATGCTGCCCTCTCCCAGCCGACTGATGACAATTTGACCCGACTCAAAGTTTTCTTTTTTATTTATTCCAGGACATGATAATAGATCTTTTTTTTTTTGTATTCTTTTATCCTGTCAACAAATATGTCGAAATTATTCCCGAAAAAGATTTTCTACATACATTTGGACCCAATAATTTTACTCTGAGTCAGGAGAAAGCAAGTAAACATTACATTTAAGATGACCTTACATTAAATTCATTTTTAATCATTTATTTTTATCTGTTTTAGAAACCACTTACAGCTTTCTTAAAAAGCTTATTTTTTACATACCCATGGGTCACCGACACAGATGATGAACTTAAGGTAATTTTATTCTTTCTATCTGAAAGCAGCAAATACCTTTTTAGCTCACCTGAGCCGAAGGCTCAAGTGAGCTTTTCTGATCAAAATTTGTCCGTTGTCTGTCGTTGTTGTTGTCAGTGTCATTGTTTCGTCGTCATAAACTTTTCACATTTTCAAAGTTTTGTTATCAAAGAACCACTTGCCAATTTCAACCAAACTTGCTACAAAGTATTCTTGGGTAAAGGGGATTCAAGTTTGTTCAAATGAAGGGCCACGCACTTTTCCAAGGGGAGATAATTATGAATTAGAGAAAAATTAATGGCATTTTAAAAAAACCTTCTTCTCAAGAACCACTGGGCCAGGAAAGATGAAACTCATATGGAATCATCCTCAGGTAGTGTAGATTCAAGTTTGTTCAAATCATGACCGACCAAAGTTTTACATAGGAATATATAGGAAAAATCTTGAAAAATCTTCTTCTCAAGAACCACTGGGCCAGGAAAGATGAAACCCATGTGGATTCATCCACAGGTAGTGTAGATTCAAGTTTGTTCAAATCATGACCCCCGGGGCTAGGGTGGGGCCAAAATGGCCGACCAAAATTTTACATAGGGATATATAGGGAAACCTTTTAAAATCTTCTTTTCAAGTACTTCAAAGCCATGATAAGTGATATTTTTCTATTTAAATGAAATCATCCTCAGGTAGTGTAGATTCTAATTTTTTCAAATCATGACCCCTTGGGGGGTTAAAATTCAAGCCCCCCCCCAGTAAACTTTCAGTTCTGATCTGATATGTGCTTTTTTCTAGCCGGTGTGCTCAGGTGAGCGCTGTGGCCCCTGGGCCTCTTGTTGATACATTATAACATTTAGTTTGCTTGTTCCTCAAATATATATACTTTCTACTGTGGAATAAAGTTTATTTGTGGGGGTCATAATATTCGTGGGTATACTGTAAGCAAAATTTATTCAGATTAAGGTATTGGGGTAAAATTTAATTACTAATTCTAATATACTAACAATTATCAATTTACTCTTGATAGCTATAGCAACCTGTTTAAATTCCAAAATGTCTGCAATTTATTTTATTTTCTTTAGTCACTGTTATTTGAAGGCCAACATGATTTCAATTTTTAAAATTCTTTTTCCCCCCTTTCAGCAAAAGGTTACAGCCATATTGACCCAGTGTGGTTGGGAGGAAAATGGGAGCATGTTGATTACATGCTTCTCATTTGCATCACACTCATTCACAAGTTGGAGGAATCAGGTCCGACAAAAGGTAACTTTATATTAGATAAGACAATTTATCCTATGTTTACCCCTTCATCCCGTGGATATAGCTCATGTGATATCATTTTCATATCCCACACTAAAGTGCAGTTTGACGTCAAAATGGTTTTTGCCTAGCGTGATAAAGTAAAGTATAGCGGAGTCCCATATAAAAACAGTGTAAAACATTGGTTGTGAAGTATCAGACATGGGATACTTCACAAAATGTTATACACTGATTTTATATGGATATATATTTTTTATCCAACAAAAACCATTGTGATGTCATAACTGCACTTAAGTGTGGGATATGAAAATGATATCACATGAGCTATATCCACGGGATAAAGGGGTAAACATGGGGTAAATTGTCTTATTCAATATAAGTATATCATTCATAAAAATAAAATAATATTTTCTTTAAAAATGATTTCAATGCATATTTTCTTTGTGGTACATCTGTACTATTAATATTAATAATCAGTTCAATCCATAAATAGTATTAATTACCAATATATATATATATGTATGTAATCTAATTCCAGTTATAATGCATCATTTGATTAGATTAAAAAATTAATCTATATTGTATAATCTGGGTTGCCTACGTCACAATGAGTTGCTTTAAACATGTAAATCCACTTGACATGTTTAAAATATAAAAACAAAATTTCAAATTATTTTAATAGAGAAATTGTCTTGTTTAATTTCTATACTCAATGATTGAAACTTAATTTATAAGGAATGAGTTACATAGCAACCCAATTTGACTCCAGTTTAAAGGATAAACTGCCAGACCTAGTTTATACAGTATAACTTGGGTTGCTATTAAATAATTCAATCCTTAAAACTATTATAAACTTTATACCTGTATGTATGCATGTACTTTATATTTTTCAGCTGGTTACTCCAGACAAAAATGTGGAAGGAATGCCTCTGAAGGCACTTCAGAGATATCTCTACAGTGCCTTCTGGGTTTGCCCATCCCCCATTGATGAAAAGAAGAACTTCATAGTGACACTTGCCTTGGTATGTCTAGATTTTCTTTAATTTTTAGTTTACCTGAGCTGAAAGCACAAGTGAGGTTTTCTGATCACAATTTGTTAGTCGACTGTCTGTTTATTCAAATCATACCCCATAAAAATTAACCTTATGCCTTTTTGGACAATTCTCTAGGTCTGAACCACTGCAATATGTCACATGCTTTTAGAATGTGTCCATCCAAGTTAATTCAAATCATACACCATAAATTCTCTTATGCAGCAATGTTTTGTAAATATAGACACCTCCAAAATGAACTATTTTCCACCTAAGTTAGACAATTCTCTGCAAAGGCAACTAAGATGCCATTATGTAAACTTGCTATACACATGATGTCACAATGCTTTTAGAATGTGTATTTTATCAAATCATAGTTAATTCAAATCACTTTTTTTTTTTAAACACCATTATAAACCTTCTTCAAATGGAAAATAGTTTGAAGGTAGCGTTGCTTACTTTTTCAGAAATGAATAATATGTCATCATGTGAAGAAAATTTTGCATGATTAAGAAAATATTTTTTTTATCACAATTAATTTAGCAAAATATATTATATATTGCAATAATATATTTACTAATTCTGACCTCCAAAATGAACTACTTTCAATTGCCCTTGAAAATATTTTTTAATGAAACAAAATATTAATTAAATGTTTATAAACAATATTTCTGAAATTTCTGTACAATTAAAAGAATTATGCTTTAAGAGATAGAGATTTCTCAATTTACACTGTTTAAAGGAATGTATAAATGTTTTGTAAATTATTATACACATGATGTCACAATGGTTTTAGAATGTGAAGATCCAAGTTTATTCAAATCATACCCCTTAACTCTCTTTTGGGTAGGTCTGAACCACTTATGCGTTTAAGCTTTTCATTACTTAATTGACTTTTTTTTTTAATTTCTTGCCACAGTACTCAGGTGAGTGATGTGGCCCTTTGGCATCTTGTTTTCCTTCAATATACAGATTAGTAAATAAATTGATATCATGCATACATTTATTATCTATTCTAAAATCATGTTTTCTCTCAATTTGTTGACATGTTCTTTTTATGATCAGGTAAATTTGAGAAAGTACCTGTGCATTTTGGTTGCTGATGTTTTTTTCATTTTGTTTACAGAGAGCATTTGCTGATGGCCATAAACTCTTTCAAAAAAGTTCCAGTGCGACTGCCATCGACTTCTGGAGAGCGTTCAAAAAGAACATGGATGCCATGGTAAAGTTTTTACTCACCTGTACCAAATGTTAAATTTTATTCTGATCACCTGTCAACATTGTCTGTCAGTCTGTCCATCTCTCTATCAACTTCACACAATTAATAATTTTACTTCAGAAGCACAATGCCAAATTCAACCAACTTGCCATGAAGCATATGCATAAAAGGGGTATAAGTTGCCATCTTTCAAGGAGAGATTATTAAGGAGAAATGAAAAATGAAAAATTACTGAATGGAAATAAAAAAAAAAAAACATCAGAAAAATTCAGAAAATATTAAATTTTTATGCAACCTTCCTAAAACAGTGTATATTCCAGGGATATAATAAGTCAGAGGGTGGGGGGTCATTTCTATATATTAGTTTCTAATGAACAAAATTGAGATACCCATTTCACACTAAGATTAGTATGACCAGACAGTGTGTCAATTTTAAACCAAAAAGTTTTAAAACAAATATATTTTGGTTAGTTAAGGGTCACATTTATACAAAATTCTACATGTTGTGTGATACAGCTTAAGTTACAATTTAAGTAGCATTAATATATATTATATATTACATTAAAAATTCTCATGATACAGGATTTAAAAAGGCATTTTATTTTTTTAGATGAAACAGTCTCCAGATCGATGGCAGTCACTGGAACAGAGAATTGTAAAAAAGATTGAAGCCAAAAATAAAGAAGACTGAAAATAAAATACAGTGTCTGTTGTGATTACTCGATCCAGTTGTTTGGTCAAGAAATAATTGTAATCAAGAGAAACACAGGATTTAAATTTAATACAATTAAAAAGAATAATTGTTTATCTTAGGTGAGAATCTCAAGTGAAATGAAATCAAATTTTTCACAAAATGGACAAATGAATGTGCATAAAAATTTTGCTGGATCAGATTTTGAATATCTTATTGCATCTTTTTAAATTACATGAAATTCATATGAAAATCGTGCGAATTTCATGTGAAATGGACAAATGAATGTTCATAAAAATTTTCGCATGAATATCATGCGATTTTTAAATTACATGAAATTCATATGAAAATCGTGCGAATTTCATGTGAAGTTTTGCCTGTGTAAAACATTGAATAAATTTCATGCGACTTGTTTTTCTTTTGTCTCCTTTTCATGCGAAGAACTTGAATTGATCATGTAGGTTTAATTGATGCGATATATTTCATCATTATTATATAACTTTTTTCTGTCAGATTAAAAATAATTATTACATAATAAATACAGCATTTACTTCGGTCTTTCCGCTAGGCTTACTTTGAAATTAATTTAATTCCATTTCTGTGTATGAAATATATGGAGATAACGAACACTATCCAATGCAAGCTCGAAAGTCAGTGAAGCAATATGAAAATAGGAGCAGAGCAAACAAGGACCTCTAAAACATTAGAGGTGAGATCAGATGCCATCGAGGAGTGAACATACCCTGCTGACCAGTCACACACGCTATGTGCTCCTTTTCCCGATCGGGATATAAAGAGAAAATCCGTCGTCAAGTCAGTGTGTAAATAATGGACTAATAATAAGTATGAGTACGTCATTCAGCATTTGACTCAATAACAAACTGTATACTAGTATTTAGTGACAAGACCATGATGTATCGACCATAGAACTTACGAACAGAAAACTTTTAAAAAGGCTGCTGATATTCTTGTTTCATTAACTTGTTTGTTAATTCTTTGTCTCGTTTTAGAAATTGTTCATACATAGAGCATTATCTTGCGTATTGAATTAAGTAAGAAATATAAAACTCCTTACGCAGGTGATGAAGGTATATTGCTGCATAAGTAAGGAAAGTTAACGATTGAAAAGTTAAAGTTAACACGTTTATCATATAGCTTTATTTTGAGAGTACCATTTACCTCTTTTTTAAGTAAAATATCCAAATATGAAACAAATGTGTCACACTGTGGTTTCTTTTATCTCGAGCTTACCGGGATATATTGTATCGACCTAAGAATGGAAATAAACATTGTTAATTGACAATATCAGGGGCGGATACAGGATTTGTGGTTAGGGGGGGCGTGGATAACTTTGTTGAGGGAAGGGTTCTGGGGGCCGCCTTAAGGCCCCCAGTGGGTCCAGGGCGAAGCCCTGGTGGGGGTCCAGGGGGCGAAGCACCCGGAAGCTGCTGGATTTTCGTGTATTTTAGAGTAAAACCAGGCAAAATAATAGTGCATATTTTTCAATTATTTTTGTTAAAAGTATATAGCATATAGGTGGGGGCCCAGGGGCGAAGCCCCCGGAAGCTCCTAGTTTTTCGTGTATTTTAGAGTAAAACCAGGCACATATTAACCAGTGCATATTTTTCAATTATTTTTTTTAAAAGTATATAGCATATAGGTGGGAGCCCAGGGGGCGAAGCCCACGGAAGTTCCTGGGTTTTCGTGTTTTTTAGAAAAAAAACCAGGCACAATAATAGTGCATATTTTTCAATTATTTTTGTTAAAAGTATATAGCATATAGGTCCGGATGTTTGAATAATAAATGTATTGAATGTTTCTCAGTTCTCATTGTATTGCTACACATGCCACTATATAATTTATATTTAATTACTTATAACTTACTAATAGTGGTATATGTATTGGTTAGTGATTTACCAAAGTACGACGTGTTTAATAATACTAGTCATGTTATACTTTGAATGGTGGGGGTCCAGGGGGCGCAGCCCCCGGAAGCTCCTGGATTTTTGTGTATTTCAAGAATAAAACCAGGCAGAATAACAGTTATTTGGTTAGTTTTGTACCAAAATGTGGCATTTTAAATATGTCACATTCATACTTTGAAAATTTTAGGGGGGCGTGCGCCCCCCACGCCCCCCCCTTAAATCCGCCAGTGAATATGCCGTCGATATATTTAAATGTCGAGTTGAAAGCCACAGCAGGTGTTATCTTATTTTCACGAATAAGGTTTTGCACAACTTCTGCTTCATATGAATCTAAAAATAGGTCTGCTAGGAACGGGACACATTTGATACCCATTTGATTTCCAATAGATTGCTGGAAGTCCTGGTCTTCAAAAACCACATATATTGTCATGCCAATCAGAAACTCAAAACATCTTTTTCAGAGTACCTGGGTGTACAATCAGAATGTCTTTTTTAATAATATAATTTTGAAAAAAGAAGATATATTATTGACAAACAAGTTGTTGAAACAAGAATATCAGCAGTCTTGTTTAAATTCATCATTTCGTTCGTTCTATGGTCGATACAATCACCTTATCAGCAAATATATTTTATCATTGAGTGAAATGCTGACTGACGTTTTTCATACTAATTGTCAGTCCATTATTTACACACTGATTGACAACAGATTTTTCCGTCATTTCCCCGCCATGACAAGGAGCACACAGCAGGTTAGACCGGTCGGCAGAGGATGCTCACTCCTCCATGGCACCTGATGCCACCTCTGATGTTTTGGAGTCCGTGTTTGCTCTGCTCTTGATTCGTATTGTTTTATGGACTTCTGAGATTGAACGCTGTTACTTATTTACATTTATTTCATTACAAATTTTTAGTTTACGTTGGCAGTTGGACATACGAATACTGTTATGGAGAATTATATTTAAAAAATATCAAATGGAAAGCGAACACATTTTTACCGCAGAACCTGAGTTTACTTCCTACATGTCATCATTTAATTGAGAAAAGTAATAAAGCTTTTATGAACTGCTATATCTAAGAACAATCAAAACTTTACATTCTTTTTACAAAGAATCTAGCCCCCTTTGCGTTCAGTTCCGAATGTATCGGACAGTACATTACATCAAGTCCATCCTGTTCCCATGTCGGTGCATCCAAATGTCTTGTTACAAATGTTGCAGTATTATTTGCATGAATATGAACGAATGTGATGAGGCGGATGTAGTTCCAGGCCAGCGGAAATATTGTTGTCATTGAGGTTGAGAAATTGATACTCCCGTCTTTCATAACTTTGAAACCTGTAATTTTTGTTTTTAGAAAATCACAAATAAAAA